CTCACACACACACACACACACACACACACACACACACACACACACATCTTTCTCTTCATGCTCCTCCAGGAAGCCACACGGCAGCCACAGCTACTTGCTGCGGATGTGCACCAGTCTGGCTGCAAAAGCACTGTTCCAGTCACAGCTGGTTTAAACAGCCTGCACTGGATCTTTTGCCTACACAAGTCTGAATTCTAGAGGACCTGGTCTACCCTACAGCTGTCCTCTCTCAGGCCAGATGGGGAGAACCACCCTGCTGGTCCAGTCTAAGGCCTTTGATTGGTGCAAGCACAGTCCTTCATTTACATGATGGTTCACTATGATTGGCTGAATCACCCTGGCCACACCCCTTTTGAGTATGTGAGCAGGCTGTTTGGCTCACTGGCCCAGTCACCTTAGGGCAGAGAGTCCCAGCACTGGAAGGCTGTTTGGGAGCTGTAGCACTAGCTGGTGCTTCTGCTACTGTTGAGAGCTGAGGATTACAAGAGCTCCCAAGGGCTGCTGGCTAAATCCTACAGCAATAAACCTTTAGGTAGGGTCCTGAAAGTCAAGCACTTAAATAACTCAGTGCCCAGAGTTAATAACTCAGTGCCTAGAGTTGTTAGCTTCTAGGTGTGTGTGGTATGTGGCTACCCTCAGAGCCAAGCAACCACCATCTTGGGGAGTTCAGCTGCAATCATTTGTAAAAGGGTATACTCCTGCTGGGTTTGCTGACCCTTTACACCCCATGGAGAGGTGGGGAGTCAGAAGACCCTCTCCTAAGAATCCAGCCACTTCCTATCACCTGTTTTATATACAGCTCTGCCTTAAGTTGCAGGTGGCCTCAGAAGGAGTTAGAGTAAATAGGCTGGGAACACCAGGAAAAGGGAGCCCCATCTACGGTGCTATAGGGCAGCCATCATCTCTTCATCCCTGCTGCAGTCGACTTTCACTGCAGCCTTTGGGACAGAAGAGCACCCATACTCCTGTAAGTCACCCCTCTCCTATGTTCTGAAATGAACGCCAATAAACTCATTGGTTCTCACAAGTGAACTTTGATGGAACTGTGCCTGTTTGTCATTGGAACCTCCAGACAAGAACAGATGTTGCGTACTTCTTTCCCAGCAGGAAGGAGTTTTAGCATCACTCTGCTAGTCCAGCTCTCAGGCACTGGGTACTTCAGGAGCCAAGGCTGACAGTTCTGGGGAGCTGCTTGTCTGGTCCAAGTGGAGTGGAAGGACCCAGACACCTGAGCGGAAACAAGCATGCCGGGTCTACCTGAGTTTATTCAAGGCTGGTCCCCCAAATGACCACTCTTGAAGCAGAGTGACCATAGCTGGCACAGGTGTCTGGCTCTTAATTGCCTTTTTTGCCTTCCACATGCTTGCCCTGGATGTCCAGGAGATCTTGGACCCCAACTATTGGGATTAGAAGATCTACAAGAAGACATCACCCAGAATCTCTGGGTGAAAACACAAGTTTCCAGGAGATGCCAGTATACAGCCAACATGAGTACCGGCTCTCCACAGCCTGGTGCCACCTGCATCCTTGGAGCCTTGGGGGAATCAGGTTCTGGATCTATCCATTTTAATACGGCTGGGAGTCCATGTCTCTTAACAAGCTCCAGGCAGTGCCTTGGCAGCCTGCCCATGGACCCTATGGGGGAGTGAGGCCTCAGAGCATCCTAAAGGGATTGGGGGGGCCTATTTTGGAGGCATCATGCATTTTGAATAAAGTTCTGGACATTTGGAATTGTGAAAACAACTTCACAGTCGAGAGGAGTAAACAGAAACCATCGTGGAAACCCAGTGCTACTTGGCACACATTGCAAGGCTCTCCAGGGAAGGGCAGAGAGGGCCATGCATGCTCAGGTACTGGGGGCGGGGCAAAAGCTGAGGAACCGCCAAGTCCATGGTGTCCTGACCTCCCCACAGGAAGCTTGGACAAAAGGATGAGTTGCCCTGTTGTCATCTCCTTGGTTTCTCTAGTATCTCAGGATGCCCGTGGGGACCCACAGAAGTGAGGAACAAGCCTCAGGGTCCATCAGACTCCGGTTCCTGCCAGATGAGACCAAGTGTCACACAGAGCTGGCCCTTCCTGCAGGTCTCAGCACCTGAGCTGGTCGCCAGCAGATGCACAGCTCTGCCTTGAGCCACTGGGGAGGGTGGCGCAGCTGGTCCTCAAGTAGTGAGGACTGTGGTGATGGTTCTGAGTGGATCTGCTTATGGCGGTACTGGGAGAGGCAGATCGCAGTGATGGTCTCTGGGCTGTGTGCTTAACCCAAGTTCACATGCTAACTGAACACAGCTAAGTGTCAGCCTAGCAGGGGTGGTGCACACCTTTAATCCCAGCACCCAGAAGGCAGAGGCAGGTGAATTGGTTCGAGGTCAGCCTGGTCTATAGAGCGAGTCCTGGGCAGCCAGGACTATACAGAGAAACCTGTCTTGAAAAACAAAACAAGTTGCTATACCTTTTCTCTGATCCAAAATGGAAGTTGGATTTGCTATGACCTGGCCCTTGCAGTTACAGTGGGGAACCTTGAACTTTTCCCCAAGCACAGAGCACATGTTTTTTCGTAAGGCCAAAGAAGGCCCAAGAGTCCACAACTACCCTTGTTGGGTACTGGACCCTCACTGGGTGGTAACAGGCCTCAGACCTTCTTAGGGTTTCACCATGGTCACGGGCTAGTCATCATGTGAGTGCAGACGGTCAGTTCAGCCCAGGACTCAGAGCACACAAATCAGAATTACAAGTGAAATGTGTTTTGTTTTGTTGTTGTTTTTTTTTTTTTTTAACCAGCGATTTGTCTAGAAAAGGACACCATGTGGTATCATGCTGAATGCTGCTGCAGGACAAGAGCTGGATGTGGCCTTAGGAAGCTTCAGAAATGTTAACCAGGACCTATAGTGTCAGGCACCAGGTAGCAGTGCCTGGTTGGCAGGCAACTGAGTGGGAAACGTGGCACTGAGTTGGCTCCTTGCCCAGAGGTGTGGTTGGGACACAAGGAGACTGTGAGGGAGTCTCAAAATGTGACAACCTGGGATTTGATGGCCCTCAGGAGTCATGATCTATGGGACGCATGAAACAGTGTGACCCTAGAGACTTCATCATGTCCAACAGACTGGGGGTGGAGTAGACACTCTTATTTTCTCCCCAGAGCCGCTGTATAGGGGTGTGAATCAAATCATAAAACACAGGGGTCCCCACGAGGGGTGCACCCACCCACTGAGACAATGGGGCTGATCTATTGGGAGCTCACCAAGGCCAGCTGGACTGTGACTGAAAAAGCATGGGATAAAACCAGACTCTCTGAACATGGCGAACAATGAGGGCTGATGAGAAGCCAAGGACAATGGCAAAGGGTTTTGATCCTACTTCATGATCAGGCTTAGTGGGAGCCTAGCCAGTTTGGATGTTCACCTTCCTAGACAAGGAAGGAGGGGGGAGGACCTTGGACTTTCCACAGGGCAGGGAACCCTGACTGCTCTTTGGACTGGAGAGGGAGGAGGAGAGGAGTGGGGGAAGGGGGAGAAGGGTGGGAGGAGATGGAGGGAAATGGGAGGCTGGGAGGAGGTGGAAACTTTTTTTTTCTTTTTCTCAATAAAAACAAAAACAAAACAGGGGTCCAGCTACCCACACTGCCCAGGAGCCAGGGCACTGGCACCTACCCCCTTTTCTCTTCCTGGGAGACCCCCTGGCTGCAGCAATGGAGGCAGGGGTGGTTCAGAGAACTCTATGCCCGCTGACTGTTTCACTCAAGACTAGAGATACAAACAAGTTTTTGTACTGGAGATCAAGCCCAAGGCCTTGGGCAGGCTAGCCAAGTGCCCCACCACTGAACTGCCACCTGTCCAGTGTAGAAAAAAATTTATTAGAGTTTGGGTTTTTAAAATGAGTGAGACACCAGCCTCTGGACAGCTCCAGCCTGCAGGCCCTGACTTTCAGTGCCATGTAACAAGGGCCCCTAGGACTCTTCCCATTACCGTACTGGACGGCTGTGTCCTCAGGCTGGTGGACAACACGGGACATCATAGGAGCGTGCTGTGATAGAGGGCAGAGTGGGGTGGCCCCGATGACACCGCAGACCCACACTCTGTCCTGTCTAGCCTGGCAGATGGGCGTAGGATCAGGCGGGCTGCTCACTCCTCCAGATGATGCTCGAACCTGGGCTAGGAGGGAGTGGCGCCAGTGCTGAGCGTACATGAAGTGTGAGCCGGGGTGTGCAGAAGCCTTTCTTACCTGAGATGGGACCAGTCGGAGAGGGGTGTGTCATCACATGTCCATGCCTACATGGGTGGCTCCACCCCTGGGCTGTATGTGTGTGTCCCTCGGGCCCATCCCGCTCCAGAACCAGCTCCCAGTAGCTGATGGCTCCTTGGTCCTAGCTTACAGGCCCTTTCTGGACCATGAAGGTCTGTCTCTCAGATCAGCAATTCTTCCACAGCTCCTCCACCTCCAAGGCCAGGGTGGACCAGGAGCTGACATCGTCACGGCCCTGCAGGACACTACTAACCTGGCCGTGCTGAGTATCCCTGCAGCTGCCCCTTCCCAGTCCCCCTGTGTGCCACCTGCCAGGTACCATTCCCCTACTCAGGGCCTGGGGTAACCAAGCCACCCTTCCTTAACTGAACCCCCACTTTGATGCCAGGTGGCAGAAGCCCCTCCCCAGCTGGGGAGGGGACAACCACAAGTCTAAGCTGCGGGGTCTCAGCCCAGAACCGTATGGGGGCATCCTGCGGAAGCAATGGGGCAGGAGAGATGAGAGATGTCTCTACAGGCACACTCCCAAGCCACAGCACCCCAGGGAGACCCACAGTTCTCTCTTGGCCACGCAGAGGGAGATAACAGGACGTCGCCTCCACTTGAGAACAGCTGGCCTAAGATGAGGCGAGGCGAGTGCTCCTGACGGTTGGAGCAAAGCGCCTGGCCAGCATCTGTAGATCCCGAGTGTGACTGGTCCTCTGCAGTGGCAGATGTGGCTCTAGCTGCTGCAAATGGCAGTGGATCAGACCGCTGGGCAGGTACCCTGTCCCCCCACTCCGTTCCCCGTCGGGCCATCAACTCTCTCATGAAACCGGGGCCGTGGCCCCTATGGACACTGTGAGGACCTCCCGTCCCCATCAGCCCACCTGCAGCCGACACCAGAGCTGCTCAGGTGCGGACAAGGCATCCCCGGGATGTGAAAGCCAGGCGTGAGCAGCCCAGTAAGGTGCGACGAAGCAGCATGGTGTGCAAAAGAGGAAGGAGCACCGCCTATGGCTGCTCCAGGGGGGGAGGGCGCATGGATGCCACTGGTGGGACTTCTTGTCCCAGTTGGAGGCTACTCCAGCAGAGGGCACAGCACCCCTGGATTTGGTGGAAGGAAGGAAGGAAGGAAGGACCGGGCGCTTGGAGTACAAGTCCTGCTGACTACTGGCCGGTATGTCCCTGCCCTCCTCGGCTCCTTGATCCGCAAGGCCGGCACTGCCCTCAGGATGCCCTTGCGGAGACTGAGGTCCACACGCCCCACAGCAGTGGCGGCAACAGCAGTAGAGATGGCCATGAACACTTCTGTGCATCTGAAGTGCAGGAGCACACTGCCAGGCTGTCCTGGGCCCCACTGCGGCCCTGGGGTCCAGGCCCGACTTCCTCCGCATCTGCCAGCGGCTCGCCACACACCAGCCAGTCCCGGGCTGTAGACTGGGGGTACCCAGGCGCTGCCTCCAGCTCGCCATCCAGCACCTTCCAGTATTCCTGGCCTCGGAAGAAATAGGATGCACCTGTAGGGTACAGGAGAGTGGCTGAGCTGGTCCCTCAGACACAGGGAGGCTCTGTATAGAACTGCGGTTGTATACGGAGCTGCAGGGGCTGGGGGGGGGGCTTAGACAGGCTGTCTGGGCCATGCCTGTCAGTAGCATGAGCCTGACTTGGGCATCTGTAGGAGACTCTGGGACACAGGGACAGACTGTCAACTTCCACTCTTCCTTGCTGGAGTTTGCCCCGCAGCGGTTCTGCACGCATCTCTTTTGGTATTGGAGGGGAGGCTACAAGTAGGGTACAGGTGCTCTAAGGAAAATGTACAAAGGCTGGAAGTCCTGTGTGTGTATGGAGTGAAAAGTAGGAGGTCAGGGCGGGTGGCAGAAGGGAGCAGAGCCCATGAGGGGGCTGAGGAGAGGGGTGAAGTCCTGAACCCCTCAGAGCTCATGACAGGTTAAGTATGCTTCAGTGAACCCCGCCCCCACACCCCATCACAATCCCCTATCTACAGTCAAGGAAACATGCTGGACAGCACTGTCCCCTGCCTTGGCGCTCACCATCAGACCAGCGCATGGCGTCATCCAGCATGCTGGGAACACCCCTCCACAGGGGGCCCTGGGCAGGGTAGCCAGGGTCCATGCGCCGTGTGTGGTCATCATAGCGCCAGTACAGCTGGTCCTTAAAGAAATAAGTCCTGTCATTGTGGGCCCAGGAGAAGACAGCATCGATGCCACCTGGCGGGAGGCTGAAGTCGGAGACAGGTCGCGGGTACCCTTCCTCTACGTTGTTGTCCTTAAACACCCAGTATCTGTCTCCTGGTGGCGAGAGAAAGAGCCATAGGCTGCGGCAAAGGCTCCAGCCTTGACTTTCACCGGTGTCCCCCATCTTCACCCAAGGGGCCGTACAAAGTAGTTACCCTATGTCACCAAGTCAAGGAGGAGTCCTGTCTGACATTTAATGAGCACCTGCCACATCTTGGTGTGGGTCTGAGAATCAGTTCCTACTCTGGCAGTCACTGAGAGACAAGGAACCAAGACAATTGACTCTGCTCTGTGAGTGTTATGTATGAAGGGTAGGGACCTTCCCTCCCCACTTTTGAGACAGAGTCTCATATGACCCGTGTTGGTCTCAAAGACCTTGAACTTCTGACCCTCTGGCCTCCATTCCTGAATGCTAGGATTAAAGGCAGGTACCACCATGCCTTGTTTATGGGCTTCTAGGGCTAGAACCCAGGTCTTCAATATGTGCTAAGCTGGTGACGTAACAACTAAGCCACTAACCTAAGCCAGGTATGGCCATCTTATGGCAGAAGGCATTCAGTCTGAGGCCTAATTACAAGTGAGATGCAGGTCTCTTTGTGAGACTTTATGAACCAAGATGCTGAAGAACCGTTGGGTTCCATGGGAACAAAGATGTGTGGGCTGGGACCAGACAGGCTCCTTCCAGGGGTACCAGTGTGTGGGGTGAACACAGGGCAAGATGCTCTAGCTGTTTCCAGAGTGGAAACAGTATGTCCAGACCATCAACAAATGGGATGGGTCAGGACACCGTGGGTGATATTCCTGATCTACAGGACACATAGGGCACACGAGGGGTAAAACCTGGGGTGGGTAGATACTGAAGGCCCGAGAGAGTGCTCTAGATTGGAGACCACCGTGTAAGGGAGATCCTGGCTGGGAACCTGGTGATGAAGGAGTGGGTGTCTATGGACTAGATGAAGGCACAGTCGCTGTGACCTCATTGGCTTGGGTGGGGAGCAGTGCTTAGGAACAACTGGTATTGGGGTTCACAGCTCAGTCTCAACTGAATGTCCCAGAGAGGAAAAACATACTGGCCACCCTGGGGATACCCAGTGAATTCTAGGCCAGCCAGAGCTACACGGTGAGACCCTGTGTGGGAAAAAGGAAAGGCACAATGATGGTTAACACTGTCATCTTGATAGCAGGTAGAATCCAGCCGCTGGGCGTGCCGATGAGGGATGTTAATCTCGGGTGGGCTGAGGTGGGAAGACCCACCCTGAATGTGGGCAGCACTGTCCCACGGGCTGGGGTCCCGGATGGAATAAACAGGAGAAAGGGAGCTGAGCAGCAGCTCCATCTTCCCAGACTAAGGGGGACGATGTGACTGGTTGTGACCGGCTGTTTCATCCTCCGGCCACCCATTTCTTCCCTAACATGATGGACCAGAACTGTTAGCCACAACAAAACCTTAAGTTGTCTCTGTCGGGTATTTTATCATGGCATCAAATCAAGTGACCTGAGGCCATGCTGGCTCAGTGCCCTCAGGGGGACCTGAGCTGGGAGGGTGACCTAAGAATGGTGGCAACTTTGAGCTGAGGGCGAGCCGCTGCTCACACCAACCCCAGGTTTCTGTCCGTCCATGTCTCCCTGTGCATGGGCCCAGGAGGCTCACACCTCACACGTGTTTCCCTCCTCCCCCTGCCTTGGCTTCCTCCTTCCTAACTTAGGCTGGTCTCAAACTTGCTACCTGGCTAAGGATGACCTTGAATTTACAATCCTCCTGCTTCTAACTTCCAAGTGTCGGGATTAATGCACCCGGTGCATGCAATGCGGGGGCACAAAATCAGGGCTTTGTGCACATTAAGCAAGTACTCAACCGATGAAATGATATCCCTAGGCCCTCAGCGCCCAAAGTTTTGGGAAACAGTCTTAGTATGTAACCCAGGCAGGCTGGGAATTTGCAGCAACCCTCCTGCCTCAGCTTCCTGAGTGCTGAGATTATAGGAATGTGCTACCTTCCTGGCCCAGGTCTCTTTTCCCTTTCTGTGGGATAGAGGAGGACAGAGAGACATATCCCATCTGAGGCCAGCAGTGAAGGCTAGGAGCCTTGCTTCCGAGTTAGGGACAGGGTAGGGTGGCCTAGACTGAGGCAGCTGCTAGGGGTTGTGGCCTCACAGTTCCTCTTGCATTTCATGGCCTCTCTTAGTTCTCTGCACTCAGAAGGGATGTTTCTGCGTTGGGGGGGGGGTCTTCACACTGGCTGCAGACCTGACCTGGACTCTGTTCTTGGGGTTTCTGCTCAATGCAGGTCCCTAGATAGACTTCGCCTGCCGTAATTTGTTCTGTCCCATTAACTCTACTGCTTTTTTGAATAAACTCTCTCCTGTGGAGGAGTTCTTCACACCCTACCTCACCCCCAACTTCTGCTCTACACAGGCCACAGCAGAGATTTTCCTTTTTTTTTTTTTTTATTCCTTTTTTGGCTTGCTGTGTATCTGCAGCGCCCCCTACAGGATGAGACGACAGTAGGCCTCCATACACATCCAAGGATGCTGCTCTTCAGACTGGTGGAGCAAACTGCTCGTCCAACCAGGCTGGAGGTGCAAGGTTACAGCCAAGGGTTGGCAGGGTGCAGGGGAGGCCAAAGCAGGTCAGACAGCACAGGGGGAGGCCATGGCCAGCTGTGGCCCAGGAGAGAAGCTCACTCACCTTTGAAAAAGACAATCTTGTGATCGCTGGTACGCTCATACACGGCATCCACGCTGTCCAGGTGCAGCGGCAGGCCCCGCCAAAAGCGATGCATTTGAGCTGGCTGCAGGGACACTAAGTGCCGATCCCGGGTCAGCCGCCAGAAGTATTTGCCTGGGTGATGGAAGGGAAGGTGGCTGCAGGAGCCTGGTGTGGCTATGGAGATCTGTCCTTCCATTCCACAGGGCCCCCCAGGGTCGGTTACCTTTGAAGAAGAAGGCTTCACCTCGGATCTGGGCCACGGCATCAAAGTGGGCAGTGCACCTATGAGGCATGTCCTTCTGGGGCCTGCAAGATAGAACGTGAGAGGGTCTGAGAGGGAGAGCACCGGACCCAAGCAGTGCAGCCAGCTGAGCTACGGCTGCCAGAATCATGAGGGGGAGCATCCTGGAAGGACCCACAACAAACCTGTGTCCGCATGGTAGACGGAGCTCACCAGGCAAGAAAGGGCAATTAGAATGAGGGCCCCATAAGGCTATAAGCTGCATCGTGAGTCGGAGGCTAGCCTGGGCTATATGAGACTGACTCAAAACCCCAAAGCCAAATCCCCTAAACCTAAAAACACCAGATGATAACAACAGCACCCAAAACGAACCAATAACGATGACAAGCAAAACAAAAGCAAAGAATGTGAGCTTCAGTCGGGCTTGTGGCCACACTAGGCCTACAGTCCTGTACTCAGGAGGCTGAGGCAGGGGGATCGCTATTGTCTGGTCAACTCAGGTGTTGGGTTTCAATTGCCTGGGAAAGAAATAACATTCCTAGGAGGGGCAGTCCTTACGACTTAGGAGGGAAACAAAACTCCCAAGTCTCAGGTAAAGTTCCTGAAACTTATAAGAGTCACAGGCCCCTCCCTAAGGTTACATGAGACGGCTGGGGCAGAGGAGATGTCACAACTGGCTACCTGCCAGAGGTTTCAAGGATACAGCTTTTTTTAGTTCTCACTCAGCCTGGGGTGGGCTTTTCAGTCACGAAGCTGTCTTTGCATCATCTATACTCGTATAGGAAGTAACCCTCACGCTTGCTCCTGTAAGTAGCCCTGGAAAACTTACTGGCTCACTATTCTAGACTCAAATCCTTTTCTTTGGTCTGCTGTGGGGGCCTCATCTAGGGTGAAGAGATGCTTTCATAACTCCCTATGGAGTCATACAACACTGGGCTCCACAGTTAGACCTTGTCTAAAACGAGGGGGAAAGGAGCTAGAGGAAGTGCTGAGTGGTTAAGACCCAGGTCGGGTCCTCACACTCGCGCTGGGTAGCTCAGAACTGCCTGTTACTCCAGCTCCAGGGGTTCCAGCGACTCTGGCCTCTGTAGGCACTATAGGACCATGCAAGCAGCCACACACAGACACACGATTTTAAAAAAAACCCTTAAAATTGATGGAAGGGCAGAACAGCTTCTCGGCTTCCCAGATAGGTCAGTGTCTCAGCACACAGAGCCCCGTGGGTGGGAGTCGGGGTGTCAGTGTCTCAGCACAGAACCCTGTGGGTAGGAGTTGGGGTGTGAGTGTTCACTGATGCACACTGCAGACAGGAGAACCATGTTACATGCCCGAGACTGAGAGGGTCCTGTCGACCACAATGCTAAGTATGCAAACACGGGCCCCAGAGCATCACCCGACACCAAGGGGACGGAGAGCAGAGCTGTGTCAGGGACAGCAAGTGTGAGGAGCCCTGAGGACAGCGTGGTCCATTTGCTGAGAAACGGCCAGTCCTGAGGGTCTGAGGCAGAGGGCTTCCCAGCAAACCACCTGCCAGGGCCACACACAGTAGTGTGCCATGCATGAGGACACTCTCCCTTTGTCACAACGCAGAACCCTCAGGCAGTGTCACACATGGGTGACCTAGAGAGCTGGGTGGGAGGGGTTGGTAGGAGAGAAATGATTCTTGCAGAGACATACAGCTCAGTGATAGAATGTCCTGGGTTCAGTTATCACTTAAAAATGAAAGTTAAAAGAAAAAGAAGAAACAGCAAAGCCAAACGTGTGGCTTTGTTTCATTCAGCTCATGTCTGAACACCAGCACGCGGGAGACAGAAGCAGGGCATTCATGATTGTGAAGCTGGCCTATGTCATGCAGCAAGTCCCAGGCCAGCCAAGGTTACACCGTAAGACCCTACCTGAAACGAATCTGCAGAGAGTCAGTGTGGTGGCTCAGTTCATTACAAGGACTTGCTGTCAAGGCTGATAGCCAGAGTTCAGTCTCTGAATCAATATGGTGGAAGGAGAGAGCCAGTTCCCACCAGCTGTCCTCTGACCTCCATACACACTGTGTACCCACACCAAATGTGTGTGTGTGCGTGCACACATGCACAACCACATACGCACGCGCATGCGCGCATGTGCACGCGCACACACATGCACACACGCGCGCACACACACGCGCGCACACACACACGCACACACACACACACACACGCACACACACACTGGGGATGAGTATTTGCCTAGCATGCACAAGGTCCAAGATTCAGCTCCCAGCACTGCATTAACCTGGATTAGTGGTACACGCCTGTAGTCTCCGCACTTGGAAAACAGAGGATGAGAGGGTCAAGGCTGTCGTCATCCTTAGCTACACAGGGGGTCTGAAGTCATCTTAGTATACAAGAGACCCTGTCTCAAACACCAAACCAAACCAAAAAGTACCAACAACACAGGGCTTGGGGCATAGCTCGGTACACTTGCCCTACATGCACAAGGCCCTGGGTTTAATGTCCAACACAAGAAACACACACACACACTCCAGCAGATAGGAAATAACAGTGGGTTGATCATATTGACTCATACCTACAATTCCAGCACTTGAACTGTAGATGAGTGTGGGCACAGCAAGGGGGTCCAGGGTGTGGGGGTTGGGGTCAGACAAGAGAAGGGACAGGCTGAGAAACAAAAGGTGTGCACTGTGCACTGCTGTACTGAGAGCCCAAGTCCCAGGGACAGCACAGATGTGCGCCGGGGAACTGTCTGCATAAGCGCAGCTCTCAGTCAGCTCTGCAGAGGGACTGGCAGTAAAGTAAACAAGCCACTGTTTGCAAGATGTCCTAGCCCCCAGGTCCTGGGCTTTGTGAACCAGGCTATAGAAGAGGGACTATTTGAGGTTCATTGTAGCTCCACGGGGTAGCGGGTTCTTTCCCGTCCCGTCTCCTATTGGGAGGTCTAAGAGAAGAAAGCGCCCCTCGGGCCCAGTCAGCACATACAGCAATGCCTTCCTCAGGATCCCAGGCTATCCTGGGTATTATGTGCTTGGTGGGGACAGCAGGGAACTAGGCCAGGCTGGCTAAGGTAATGTGACAAGGGACGGGGCTTACGGGGTGCTAGACCGATTGCTGGGAGGATCCGGCAGGAGGGGTGGTTCCTCAGGCTCTGGAGTATCCAGCTGTGCAGTAGGGGACACGGACTCCCGCACACCTGCGGAGACAGAAAGTGTGTGTTCAACCCAGGGCCTTAGTCTTACCGGCCTATCCTGCGGCCCTGGGCATGCAGTCTGGGTTGTGAGGCTGGGGGCCCCCAGTTCTGCTCATTCAGCCAGATGGGTATCTAGGTGGGGCAGACAACAGCAGCAGTCCTGTGAACTATACTGTGCCCCAAGAACTTGTGGAGAGCATCACTGTCCCTCACAACCACGGTCCTGGGTGGACACCCCTGAAAGATGGAAGCCAGGTGATCCACAAGAATTCCACACCAAGGTCCACAGCACTGGTCACAAGAGCCTGACAGGGAAGTAACCCTGTGCTCAATGTTGAGTTCATTCAGCCATGGAAAGGAACCAGGCCTGACTCCGGTCGGGGAGAAACCTTGAAAATACCACACTTGGGGAAAACAAAACAAAAAACCACACACACACACACACACACACACACACACACACACACAAACCCACTAGCCACAGAAAGCCTCATTCTGTATGGCTCCCCTTCCTCCGAGTGTCACACCTCAGGCAATCCTCAGAGACAGTCCCTTGGGGTTAGTTCAGGGTGGCAAAAGTTGTGGACCTAGGTAGGGTGGCGCCTGAACAGCCCTGTGACACATGTGGAGATGAGGGATTTTACTGCATTAGAAACAGCACTGGGGCTGGAGAGGTGGCTGAGCCATTAGGCGCACCAGCTGCTCTTGCAGAGGACCTGGGTTTGGTTCCCAGCACCCCCATGGCAGCTCACAACTGCCTATTAACTCTAGCTCCAAGGCATCTAACGCCCTCTTCCACACTTCATGGGGCAGCAGGCATGCATGTGGTGCACACACACACCAGCAGGGCAAGAAATGCACACGCATAAAAAGGAGTGACCCGCAGGCCTGAAGAGGCAGTTGAGCGGTTATGGGTTCTTGCGACTCTTGCAGAGGTCCTGGTTTCAGTTCCCTGCACCCACACTGCCTGAAACTCTAGTTCCAGAGGGTCTGACGGCCTCTTCTGACCTCTGTGGGCACCTGCATGCGTGTGGTGCATGGACATATATTCAGACACTCACACATAAGAAAGGAAATTCTGCAAAATAAATAAAACCACCACCACCACCACCGAAACAACAAAAAAACTCCACAGAGATGGGGTGGGGAGGTGGGGCATGGAACAGCAGATTGGGGGAGTGCAGAATGAAGCTAGTGGCAGGATGGGGGGGCCAGGCTGGCTCTATTCAGAGAGGAAAATGTTTCTGTATATTAAACATCACCTCTGTATATTAAACATCACATCTCCCACCCCATCCAGAGTATCATCTCCTGGATGAACATGGGGGCAGACACCTCTACTTATTTCCAGATGTGACCCGGGAGCCGCCCTGGACCAGATTCTGGTCCTGTTTTGGCTGTTTATACTCCTGTGGGGCTACACCAGGCAAGCTGCCTGCCTCTCACCCTCACAGATCGACCCTGGCAAGCTATCTACCTCTTGGTCCTGTGGGCTATTCTGGGCAAAGTGCCTGCCTTTTGGTCCTACAGGGATATCTTCATAGTCTTATGGGCTATCCTGGGAAAACTGCTTCTTCTGAATCCTGTAGGGATGTTCTTTCATTCTTTTTTTTTTTTTGGTTTTTCGATACAGGGTTTCTCTGTGTTTTTGGAGCCTGTCCTGGAACTAGCTCTTGTAGACCAGGCTGGTCTTGAACTCACAGAGATCTGCCTACCTCTGCCTCCCGAGTGCTGGGATTAAAGGCGTGCGCCACCACCGCCCGGCTGTTCTTTCATTCTTATGAGCTATCCGGAACAAGCTGCCTGACCCAAGCCCACCCAGCACTCCTCCTCCCTTAGAGTCATGTAATCAGATGGCCAATTTAGCACAGACCCGGTGCTTCGAAGGCCTGGATCTATCTTTACTGCTGCCAAGGCTCTTTGAGGGACTGACTAACATCCCTGGGGCTCTCCGCACCAGGGGGAACAGCACTAGAAGGCCGAGACCTGTGTCCCACACCCTGGGCTCCCCTCCTCTCTCCCCTGTTCTGTTTCCAGCAGATGTCACGTGCCCACAGAGTTCTAGACTAAGAGGGCACAGCCATAAACAGAACATACAACTACCTGGGGCATCTGTCCCTAGCACCGCCCTCCATGTGGTCCATACTGGGCTTTGGGGACACTCACCATATAATTGCCAGACACGCACCCTGTCCTCGTAGGGAAGCCCGTAGCGGAGTGGGTCACCGACGGGGCCCTGGTAATACGGTTGCATGATGGAGCCTGGGGCAGCAACATGGCTCAGACCAATGGCATGACCAAACTCATGGACAGCCACTGCAAACAGGTCCATCCCATGGGCATCTGGAGACACAGAAGCTGCATGAGCCGGGGAGGACAGAACCCCGTCACTGATGATGGGGCTGGAATACAGAGCCGGTGCTCAGAGGGTCCCTGAATCCTGGCTGTGCTGGGGGCTCCAGCTAGCCACGTGAGTACTGCAGACCTGCTCAGATCATGCTGGGCTCCGATGGAGGCCCTGTGTGGCAGGAAGAGGCTTCCCAGGGGTATCTTACACTGCCACGGTATGGAAGCCAGCCCATTTAGTGTCTGACCATAGTGGAGACATCCCAGGATTGGCAGGATTTTCCAGGCTCAAATACAATAGCTGTCACCCCAAGATCCTACTTGAGAGATCTGGGTTTCAGCGCACTGGGCAGGGAATTAGCTGGTTTGCCAAGCCACCTGCAGACGCTCGGTGGATCAGATCATGAGAACGGCCCACCAGGTCTCAGTTAGTGGCTAACTTATGAGTGGAGTAGGACTCAACTATTTAAGTCTAACCTGGGACTCGTTCTGGGGGAGACAGCTGCACCTTTTTAAAAAAGATTTATTTATTCATGTAGTTATGTATATGAGTGCTCTCTGTCTTCGTGCACACCAGAAGGAATCTAATCCCACAATCAGACGGTTGTGAGCCACCACGGCTGCACCTATCTTTAAAAGGTTCAGGGTGTTACTGTGGGGTCCGCAGGGCCCACAGGGGCTGCCCAGGCCCAGGGTTCCAAATACTCAGGACTGACCCCCTACATACCTGAGGAACGGAAGGTCCATGCCTCGTCATCATCAAAGTGGGTATCCCCTGCCGTGTGGTGGTCACCGGGGAAGAAGGCATGGGCCACTGTGCCCCCGGGGCCATCAAAGGGGTAGCCGTCATTGTGGTCCGCCTTGGAGAAGTCGATCTGGATGTCAGCAGTGTTACCCGCTACCTCGTGGAAGTTCAAGGGTGTGATGTCACTCCAGACTTTGAGGGCGTAGTACATGAGTGCCCGCACAGTATCCCGGCCCAGGGGTGAGTCCCGTGGGAAGGTCCGGACCCTAGGGGCAGGGTCAGAGTAGAGGCCAGCTGTCCCTGAGGTCTTTACGGACCTCCCTCTGGGGTAAAATATTGCCTTGGCATCAATGTTCCCTTAACATCTGCCTTTTTCTAGTCCCCAGGAGATGAACACAGATGAGTCCAGAGGACTCAGGAAATGCCAGCTCTCCAGAAGGCACGGGCAGGCTGCATCTCAGGGCTTGCTCCACCCTCCATCCAGTCTACACACTGGTGGGATCCTCTCTGAGCTGGTCTGGCCCCAGGGGTGGTAGAAAGACAGAGAGACACTATCCTGGGGAGCCCTCACCCCGGCCACACACCTCCAAGAAAGGTTCCTCTTGCTCCATTTGGTTGGTGGCGGAGTCTGTCGCTTCCTTCTTGCATGGGCCCCAGGGGGCAGGTCCGGAAGGGAGCAGCGAGGGGTCTTCATCAGGGCCAGAGTGGCCTCATCTGCATGGTAGACATAGGACAGCAGGTAGACCTCATCCCACCTCTCCAACAAAGACCCCATGGCCCCTCAGAGCCAATGGCCTCAAGGCCAGGTGTGTTCAAGCCCCACCTATCCCCCACCAGGTTAAGGTAACATTCATGTTCATGGCTCTGGCTAGTCCGAGTTCTCAGTGGCCAACTTCAGGGTCCTGGGTAGCCAGGGTGGGTATGGCCAGGCTGGCACAGCCCTGGTGGGACCAAGAAGCTTTCTGGTGCCTCCCAGAAAACTAACCCAGGATGCCGGTGGTCTCCAGGCCGCCAAACTGCTGCATGGCAGTAATAGCCTTGGACAGTTCCTCCTGGGTCTGTAGCTGTCCTGTTGCTGGGTCTGCAGGAGGCAGGTATCCGAACCTGCTCAGCCATTCCTGGGGACACAGGGCAGAGCAAGAGGTTGTTAGGGTAGAGCCCAGAAGAGGAGGAGCTGGCCAAGCTCATGACTGTTGCAGGGGAAATGCCGCTTGAACCCTGGCCACCCCCACCTAGCTCCATCCCAACATCCTTGTCCTTTAAATCGGGTTATAAGAGCCAGGTGGTGGTGGCGCATGCCCTTAATCCCAGCACTCGGGAGGCAGAGGCAGGCGGGATCTTTGTGAGTTCGAGGACAGCCTGGTCTACAAGAGCTAGTTCCAGGATAGGCTCCAAAGCTACAGAGAAACCGTCTCGAAAAACCAAAATAAAATAAAATAAAATAAAATAAAATAAATCGGGTTATAAGCCATCATCAATGTTTGCCAGCAACCACTAGATGGCGCTACAGTCCACATGCCAATTGTGACAAGGACTCTGCCTGCTGCATGCACCTGTCTGGCTCCAGCTGACCCAGACGTCCTGTAGGGCAGGATGCTCTAAGCCAAAACCACCCTCCTTTTCAAGAAGGGCCCAAACACGGGGCCCAAATCTAAGCTGTAGACTTGTTTCCTTCCATCTCATCAACACAACACACACACACACACAATTTTGAAACAGGGTCTTAACGAATAGTCTTGGCTGGCTATGTAGATCAGGTTGGTCTCAAAATCCCAGAGATCAGCCTGCTTCTGCCTTCCAAGTGCTGGGGTTAAATGCACCTGCCACCACACCCAGCTACACCACTCTTTTGGGACAGGGTCCCATGTGGTCCAGTCTGGCTTCAAACTTACCTTGCAGCCAAAAATGATCTTGAACTTCTGATCCTCCTGCTCCCACTGCCCAAGGGCTGGGATTACAGGCACGTACTACCATGCCTGTTTCGTGTGGTGCTAAGCATTGGGCCCAGGGCTTTGGGTCAGCTAGGTAAGCACTATCCTTACCTATTTTTTTTTAATGTTTAGTTATCCAGTTGTGGTGGTGCACGCCTTTAGTTCTAGTACTTGGAAGGCAGAGGCAGGCAAACCTCTGAAAGTTTGAGGCTAGCCTGGTCCACACAGGGAGTTCCAGGACAGCCAAGGCTACACAGAGAGACCCTGACCAAACAAGACCACAAAAAAATTAAATTATGTGATTGTGTGTGTGTGTGTGTGCACATGTATGTAAATAACCTCAATCCCCTAAGAAGCACTAGCTCCCCTTTGAGATGGACTTAACAGGCAGTTGTGAGCTGCCCAAGGTGGGTGCTAGGAGCCCAACTAGGGTCCTCTGCCAGAGCAATAAGTACTCTTTTTTTTTTTAAAGAATTTATTCTAAATTAGAATTGTATGTTTTATTTTGTGTGAGGGGGTTTTGCCTGCATGGATATATATAGCCACAAGCATGCTTGTTGTCCACAGAGGTAAGATGGCATCAGATCCCCAGATCTGGAGCTTTGCGTAGTTGTAAAGCCCCATGTGGGTGCTGTGGATGAACCCAGGTCCTCTGCAATAGGAAGGAGTGCTCTTAACCAGAAAGCCATCTCTCCAGCAGCTTCTCCAAGCCTTTTTGAGACAGTGTCTCACCATGTAGCCCTGGAATATGCTATGTAGACCAGGATGGCCTTGAACTCACTAAGATACTCCACGTCTGTCTTTGCCTCCCAGTGCTGGTGGGCACTGAAGTGGTGGCCATCACGCCCAGCACCCTACTTCTGTTTTGATGAACACACACACACACACACACACACACACACACACACACACACACAGAAAAAAAAATACCACCCTATTCAAGTCCTTCCCTGACTCTCCAATCCCAAGGACGTCACCCAGACTCCTCTCTTGCACTGGTTACTGCTGCTGAGAGCGGTTGCTTGGGAGTCCAGTGGATGTGGTTGGAACTGGGTTTCATCTCCCGGGACTCCTTGGAGCGTCAAACAGAAGCAAGCTGCCCAGGCTAGGAGGTCCAGCCTGGATGATGTAATTTGCATACATATGCAGTGTGCCTGCCAGGTCTCTTCTCTGCATAACATGTATCCTCGCTGGGGTTTCTCTGTTTCACAATTCATCCCACCCCAACCCGTCCTATATCCTGTTGGTGTGTATGGGGATGCCAGGGACAGGTTTCTAAGGCTGAAGGGCAGGACCTTCAAGCAGCCCGGAAAGTGAGAGTCATGCCCTGGGCACACGCCCAGATCTCTCTACTGCCCCATTTTGGGTTCTGTAAGGAGGCCATCTTGGCGAGACCCTTTTCAGAGCTCTCCTCTCAAAAACTGTTTTAACATTTTAGCTGTTTTCACGTGTCAGAACACACCTGCGTACGCACACACGTTTTCACAGCTCAGACGCGGGGCCCCATGGCTGCCTTTCCTTCCTACAGGAAGCCCCCGAAGCTTCCTCAGAGAATGGATCCCCCTCCTGAGAGTGTGCATAGATGGGGAACAGGGGTTGGAGGCTGGAATGGTAGCCCTTGCCCCCCTCCCGAGAGTGCACATGGATGGAGAGCAGGGGCTGGAGGCTGGGATGGTAGCCCTTGCTTGTCTAGAACAGACCGTAATTGGGCTTGGCAGCATTGCACCTGCAATCTCGGATGCCCTGCCCCCACCAAGAGAGAGCTTAACCCTCTTGCATGCTGGCAGCCCCCTCCCTGTATCCAGGAGCCTTCTCCACAGTGCTGAGTCCTGGGAGGGCCTGACCAAAGTGGACTTTGGCTTGGGGAGGTGGGTGATCGCCAGCACTGGCCTGAGGTGGACACCCAAGGGGCAGCCAACTGACCAAAGTCATACATCAGCAGAGGATGGGTGTGTGGAGGCCACAGGCAGCCAGCTCATCCATCTCCAGGCGGGCGAACCCCAAACGCTCACATAAGCTTCCCATTATCATCTGGGACTAGAACCTGATAAATGTCAAATGAGGATAACGGGCCATTGAGAAGGCAGTTAGCCTAGAGGACTTGGGGTTGCCTAGGCTGACAAAAGCCACGCAGAGGACAAGGTTTCTGCAGAAGAGGCAGCCTTGACTGGCAGCTTGCAGCTAGAGAACCGAGGCAGTCCCTTGTCACCCCCATCTGACCTGCTCTGACCCCTGCAGGTGTGAAAGCCTCTCCCCACCTCCCTGTCTGCAGGATGGCCAGAGATAAGACTTCCTTGCTTCCTCTCCCTTGTCCTCTAATACCTATTGAGCCAGGACCTCACACACCCTGTCCTGGGCCGCCAGCGCCCTGCTTGCCTGCCTGGTCCTCCTTCCACTGTCGCCACGGAGACAGACCGCTGTCTCCAGGGCAACGGAGGCTGCAGCAGGCGGGTGCTGTGAGGCTCAGGGTGAACCTTCCAGAAGGCCACTGGGGAGGAGGGTGGGGCCAGGAGAAGGGGAGTCCCCCCCCCCAGGGCAGACACCCCTTCCTCCCAGCCCAGTCAAGGAAACTGGACCATTACTTCAGACCATGACTGAGGTTGGCTGAACAGTCCCGGGATTCCAGCACAGATGTAAACACAAGCAGTCAGTCAGCGCTAGCCCCCTCCTCTTTCTCATCTTGCTGTTGCATTTATCACCATTTGACACAATGTGTATCCTTTTACAGCTCTAACAAGGCATAATATGTACAGTGTTACAATCCTTCAGATGGCTTTAGCAAATTTATAGAGCCACCCCAATCCCTGCGCTGGCTTACCCAACTGTCTTATGGAATCTGGGCAGCTCTGCCCACAGCCTTGATCAGATGCCATTGTGGCCCCCAGGAGCCTGCAGACCTTGCCTGGCACTTGGACTGTTACTAAGCTTACGACCACCCCGCCCCATCCCTCTCTAACTGTACCCACCAGTTGGAGGCAAATGGATGCCACCAGCCCCATCTCACAGGTAGGGAAACTGAGGCCTGGAAGCTGAATCCAGATTCTTGTCCTTCCAACCTGTGACAGGAACAGGGCCAATTCTGATAGATATATGATAATGATATATGCTATATATCATTCATACCACATATGCTAACTGTAGGTGCTCTGGGCCATAGGCAGTGCCACCTTTGGCCACTCCTCATATTTACCACCTTCCCCCATATAAAAGCCCTCAGGCCCTTGTAAGGGCAATGCCAGTGGGGACCCTCCAACCCTTACAGGTGAGGCATCTGAGACCCCGAGGAGCAAGGAAACTGTCCACATTATGCAGCCAATGGGATCCATGGCTCATCTCTTTATTAATGAGCATGTATTGTGTGGAAGCCAGGGGAGAAGCTTGGGGGTGACCCTCAAGGTACACTGTCCAGGTCCTTTGCAGCAGGGTCTCTCGTTGGCCCAGAGTTCACCAATGAGGTAAGATTGTCCGGCCAGCATCTCCAAGGATTTCTTGTTTCTACCTCCCCAGTGCCAGAATTATGGTCCACAGCCAGGTGGTGACGGCACACACCTTTAATCCCAGCATCTGGGAGGCAGAGGTGGAAGGATCTCTGAGTTCAAGGCCAGTCAGGTCTAAGGAGTAAGTTTCAGGACAGCTAGGCCTACACAGAGAAACCTTGCCTTGAGAAATCAACCAATTAACCAAACAAACAAACAAACAAACAAAAAAACCAAGAATCTTCCACCAAGTCAAGCTTTAAAAAATATATTTTTTTAATGTGTTTGTGAGTGGGTAACTTGTCTATGAGTGCAGAAGCCCAAGGGGGCCAGGGGCATCTGGTCCCCTGAAGCTAGCATTCCAGGAAGTGGTGAATCACTTGCTGTAGGACTGGGCCTCAAATGTATATGCTCTTAACTGCTGGGCCATCTCTCTAGTTCTATGACCAGCTTTTCCAGCGGTTTCTGGTGGTTGAACTTGAGTCCTCACGCTTGCCTGGCAAGCACTTAGCCAACCAAATGAACCTCCCTCCAGCCCTGCGTGGCCCTTTTATAAAGAAAGATCTTAGCAGATAGCCGGAGTGGTCCCCTGCCTGGGCCTTTCTGACTATACCAAGGGCTGGTTGTGAAGGGAGACAGATAGACCAGGGCGGATCTGTCCCGGAGGGGAAAATTAGCGGAGACCATGCACACATTGTCTCTGGCCACTTTCGTCCTGATGGCAGATGCTCCACTGATTCTGAGCTAAGGGCCACTGAATGCCTGTGAAATACGTGGAAAGCTCCACGCAGCCCCCAGGATGTGGGGAGGATGGTGGGCGCTGTTTTTTTTCTTTCCTGCACTTTCCGTCATGCACAGTGGGTATTCTGTAAGTCACTGCGAGTCGGCCCGACGAAGTAGGTGCTGCTGCTACCCCATTTTACCAACTACGGAGAGAAAGAAGCACAGAGTACCGACCCCTGTCACACAGTATGGGAGTGCAGAGCTGAGGCTGGAGCTGGCTGGCTTCTGGGCTTACCCCGTAACCACTGCAAGGGAAGGGAAGGATGTGACAGAGGGGACAGTTAGATGGACACTCTGGGGAAGTTGTTCTGGGCAGATATGGGGTTGTCATTGTCTATAAGGAGCCCTGGGGAGAGTATTCACGGTGGGAAGGTTTTGTTTGTTTTTTGTTTTTCGAGACAGGGTTTCTTTGTGTAGCCTTGGCTGTCCTGGAACTCACTCTGTGGACCAGGCTGGCCTCCAACTCACAGAGATCAGCCTGCCTCCGCCTTCAAATGTTGGGATTAAAGGCGTGCGCCACCACTGCAAGTCCTGGTGTGAAGGTTTTGATGCAGGAAGTAGCTAGGTATAGCACCTAGGAAGGAGATGGTTACTGAGGGGTGAAGGGTCTGGGGACAAGGACAGAGTGGGACTTGGAGCTGTGAGGGGATGCATGCCTATTACATAACCATCTCGTCTTTGCTGGGAGCCAGGTGCCCGGCATGTATAAGATGTCTTTTCCTTCCTGGACCAGCACTAGCCTGCACACAGACCCAAGGCCAGGAAGTACTGAAAGTTTAAAGTTTACAGTTAAGGCGACAGGCATCTGACACACCCTGAGAAGTCCCCCAGCAGGCTCCTCACTGGACAACGCCCTGAAAGCCTTCTGAAGTAGTCCGGCTTCCCCGCAAGAACAGGCTGTTCCTATGGGTCCATTTGCCAAGAGAGAAGACTGAGGCTCTATGAGCTGGTCACAGAGCAGGTAAGCAGCAGCCTGGGACTCAGCCTAGATCTAGGTAAATGGGTCTCACATTAGATATCCACAGAGTGGCTGGGTGTGGACATGCACACCTTTAACCCCAGCATTCAGGAGGCAGAGGCAAGCAGACCTCTGTGAGTTCCAGGTCAGCCATGGACCTGGCCATGGACCCTGTCTCAAATGGAAGCAAAGCACGAAGTAGTGAACATTGAGACTTGTTTCCCTCTCTCTCCTCTCTCTCTCTCTCTCTCTCTCTCTCTCTCTCTCTCTCTCTCTCTCTCTCTCTGTGTGTGCTAGGACAAAACTCCGGGTCCTTCATGTGTTAGACAAATGACCTACGCGGTGTGGTTTGAATGAAAGTGACCCCAGCCCCAGTTCATATATTTGAACACTTGGTTCCCAGTTGGTAGAAACGTGTGGGGAGGATTAGGAGGTGTGTCACTGGAGGCCTAGCTTGAGGTTTCCAAAGAATTGCCATTCCCAGTGTGTTCTTTGCAACCCGAGACGGGGGCTTCAGCCCGGCCGTCATGAACGCTACCCGTCTGGAACTGTGCTCAATCAAATGCTTTCATTTCTAAGCTGCCTTGGTCACGGTGTTTTCTCAAACAGAGAAGTAACTACGACAGTATAACAATGACAGACAGCATCATCTTCTATTTTCTTGAGACAGTGTCTCACTAGTAGCCCTAGATGGCCTGGGAACTCCCTATGTAGAACAGGCTGGTTTTGAACTCTCAGATCTGCCTCTGCCTCCTGAGTGCTAGGAGTATACGATTAAAGGTACATACACCACCATACCCAGAACTGGTCCTTTCTGTTTGTTTGTTTTTTTTAGAGCCTTAGGTTGCTCAGGCTGGCCCTGAACTCGCTATGTAGCCAAAGACCCTAAACACCATATCCTTTTCCCTCTGCTTCCTGGCACTGGGATTACAGGTGTGTGCCAACATGCCTGGCTTATTCGGTGGGGCTGGGGCTGGCAGCCAGTGGGGTGTGCATGCTAGGCAAGCACTTTCTGAGACAGAGTCTTGCTCGAGAGTCCATGCTGGCCTTCATACCACCCTCCTGCCTCAGTTCTGGGCAGCCGCGGTGAATGCCTGTAAATGCAGGTCTGGCATTATGTTCAACTGCTGCCTCGCCACCTTGGTTTGGGTCCACAGCGAACAGCTGTAGTTCCCAGAGCATAGCTATGGACATAAGGAGGGTTTCTTCGTGGGCCCAGAAAGAGTGCAGGCAGCAGGGAGAGCTAAGATCAGGACAGGAGGAGACACACAGGCCAACCCTGCACTCCATGTCCCTGCTTCTGCCTGTCACCATTGGCCCTGCCCTCAGGGTCTTTACTTATCCACGGCCATCCTTAGTTCCAGCACACCAGCCTTCAGTTGTGGGCATAGTGAGATGAAGATCTGAACCTGCCCAGCCTGAGTGGTACCAGCAACAGGAGAGACTGCTGTGGGAGGAAAACCCAGAGTCGAAACTTCCCGGGGTTCATTTGTTTAGCTGCCAGCATGAAAGGGGCTCTTTAGCAGGACCCCTAGCAGCCGGCGGGCCCCCAGATACCTAGACTGCTTGGCGCTGCCGAGACACAGCCACACAGCATGCCCTACGGAGCCAGACCTGGCTGAGCGATCTGACATTTGTGAATGAAATATAAGGGGGTGACGCCAGTCAGTCAAACAGTCTCCAAGGCAGGTTGTGAGTGAGAACCGCAGGGTGTGAGAACTGGGGCCTGATCTGGCTGTGTGAAAATTGTCCACTTCCCCATGGCTACCCAGCTGGACATCTGAAAGGGCCGTCAGGACGCCACTCTTTCAGAACCTTCCCTGGGGTTGCACACTTTGCTGTGAGGCATTAACCATTCAAGAAACGGAATAACAAAACAAGGCCCACTAGGCTGTGAGGAGGCACAGCCCCGGTGTCCTTCCAGGGGGCCTGGGGCCTCTTCTGGGCTTTATTCACTGGCGTTGGCCCCTCCCGGCCCAGCCGTGGGTGCAGCGCTGTCTGGCAGCGGTTGATCACAAAAACAAAGGCGCCCTTCTCCTCGGAGGCCTGCAGACTTGAATACGCTCAACAGCCCGCAGAGGGCGGTCTGAGGGGCATCAGAATGCTCCCACCCAAAGCCCGCCCATCTTTTGCAGCTCGGAGCCCCTGTGCCCCAAGCTCTTAGGTGCCATCTCCTAGAGGGCCACCAGAGGGCGCCCACTACCACCACAGAAGAGAGGCAGATGAGGGTTCCCACACCCGGGAGGATATTGTCCTGGGAAGGGGGATGCCTGCTGCACCCTCCCGCTTTATCCAGAACTGGACGACAGGGTTCTGCTTCCTCTGACAAGGCTGCGGTCACGCGCCCTGCTCAGTGAGACCTTCAAAGTGTGGATCGGCCGGTGACCCTAGGGTGCTCAGGAACTCAACAGGGGAGGGGAAAAGTAGATGAGGTCCACAGGTGCCAGGGGGAGGAGCCAGCCCCACCCCAACCTCCAAGGTCTGGCTGTTACAAAACTTCCTAAAGGCACTGGGCCTAAAGGAGAAGTTGGCTGGTCAGGGACTCCATTGCCCAAACTCCACCTCGGTGTCCTCTCTCCCTTAACCAGTCCTTTTTGAGACACCCTGAGAACTGGAACACGAAGGGGTCTGGGCTCTACTGTCACCTACCCAGAACTGGGACTGGATGTCCCACTGCTCGTGGCAGCAGGGGAGAATGGCTATGAAAGCCCAGGAATAGGAGTGTGAGGAACCCCTATTTTAGAGACCACTAGAGTGGGAGGAAGCCACCCCTAGGGGACCCTTAGGCGTCTGTCAGCAAGTGGGCAGAGAAAGCATGGGGCCGCTGCCATCACAGAGGCCTGGGGGTGGCAGAATCAGCCTCTCACTCAGATCCAGGGCAAGTCTTGCCAAACAGGGGGTTGCTCCCGCCCGCCCCAGTGTCTCCTCCAGCCTGACATCTCCAAGGCACCTTGCCTAGACCTAAAGGTTTACGAGTCCCCATTGCCAACCGCCCGTGGAGAGGGGACTCTGCCAGGACCCCATTAGGATATTGGCTAGCTTGTGCCGGGCAAGAAGCCGCCCGGCTGGGTCTCTGGATCTCAGAGGATCAAGGGCGCCCAGGCCGGGGCCTCCTCCTCGAAAGAGGGCTTTATCCACCGCGCGCGCCTTTGCAGAGGCTTCGCGGGCCTGCGGAGCCATAAAGTCTGCTCGAAAACCTTCCGGGTCTCCTGCGGGGACTTGGGTCAGGAGGGCAGACGAGAGGTGGGAAAAAGCACCGCGGCCCCCAAACAAGGGTGCCCCGCTAAGCTCGGGTCTTAAGGTAGCAGCAGGGTTGGGAGTTGGCGGGCCGGGGACAGCAGCGGGCTTGACACGACAGAGGTTGCCACCCGCACCGGCGGGACAAGGCCGACCGCTCCCGTGGAGGAGGAAGGAGAGGGGGTCGCTCCACTCACGCCGAGCGGGCGGTTCTCCCAACATCGTCAGCAGAGCAAAGTCGGGAACCCCAGGCTTTCCGGACGCCCACATGCGCGTCCCCGGCTTGCGGTGCGCGCCCCTGACCTCCCACTCCGGCCGCGAAGCTCGCGGGGCGCACCGCTCCGAGCGACTGTGACGCCGGTCACCCCGCCAGAGGTCTCTGTGGAGCTGCTTTTAACCAGGGACCCGGCTCCAGCTCCAGCTGGGCGACCACCTCCCCGGGGCGCCCGCGGCTGCGACGCAAGATCGCACCGAACGGGAAAGCGACCGCTGTCCTCCTACACCTGCAAGCGTGCGTCCCGCTCAGCCCGAGTCCCAGGCTCAGTTTCCCTGCCTTGGAAATGGGTCCGCCGCGCCTGGGATCCGCGCACCTCTCCTAGTCTCCCTTCTCTCTTGCACCTCGTGAGAGCCCGGGGACTCGGCTCCCGGAGTCCCGTGCCCGCGTCGCACACTCACCACCCCGAGACTGAGGTCCTCTGCGCGGGGTGCGGGCGCTGCGCAGCCCCCGTGGGCCGCCAGCGAGAGCAGAAGCAGCAGCGGCGGCAGCCTGGGCTCGGGGCTTGGAGGGCCAGGTCCCCGAGGAGATCCAGGTCCCCGCGGGCGGCGTCCCATCCCGCTCTCCGAGGCGGGGTGGCGAGGATCCCCGCGCCTCACTCGGCTCCGCGCCCGCTCCGCTCCGCGGGACTGAGCCGCGCGCCCGCCCGCCCGCCTCCGGGGCAGGGCCATGCTAATGTATGCTAATAAGAATCACCCCGCCCACTCCCTTAAAGGGGCCCCCCTCACGGGCGGGACCGGATAATCCGCACCGAGGGTTTGCCCTCTTTGAGAGCGGGAGCTCCGCTCCAGGTAGGGAAGCGGGGAAACTAGGGTGCGAGTGTTCAAGATCCCCGGTCTTCTGCTAGAGCTCCCGGTCCAGTTCCAGGTCACTCAAGACCTGGAAGACCGCCGCAGCGCGCATGATGGGCGCACGGGGGAGCCCGCGGGCCACAGAGTCCTGGGGCGAGAGGGAGTGAGCACCCCGATGCGGAGGGAACGGAGGTGGGGGGAGGGGGGTTAGTGTGATTCCGACGAGCGTAGGAGGGAGCGTGGGATGGGATGGGTGAGCGTGGGTGGGAATAGGGGCGTAGGATGGGAGGGGCTGAGGCCGAGAGCACACCTGAGTCCTGCAGGGAGCACGGAGCGCAGAGCAATTTGTTACCCTGGTGCGCCAGGAAGCACCTGGCTTCTGCGGCTGAGTGTCTGCGGCAGGTGTGAGAAAGGAGAACTTGAGTTTTGAGGTGCGGGGAGTGAACCCCCAAGGCTGCCGACGGCCTGGACCGGCTCTCTCTCCCTGAGCCGCGACCGAGTGGGAGGCTATGAATAGCTCACATTAGCTGGGATCTGGCATCCGCTCAGCACTTTACATAAAAAAAAATTTTCTTTCTCACAACCCTTTAGAGGTGGAAACCATATTTCTCAATTTGTACACAAAGAAACTGAGGTCCAGAGAAAATAACTCCTAAGCAGGTGACAGTGTGCAGAGCGACAGAGGGAAACTGGCTGGGCTAGGGGACAGGGTTCAACCCCTCCTCTGCCCCCAGTTCAACTTCTTATAACCTTGGGATGCAGCTGGATCCCTAGTCTTTCTCCCATCGGTCTCTCTTTACTGTTGGTGTTGTTAGGATTACAGTCTGTTGTTTACATAGGGAAACGGTGGTTCAAGTGAAGTCCCCTGAAGGGGAGGGTGGCTCCCTGCATCCCAAGCAAAGCTCCCTCCCCCAAGTCCTAGCTGTGGGACTTGGACTATGCAGTCCCTGTTGCTCTCAGGGTCTGGGTGGTTTGGGGAGAGGCTTCGATTCTGCACTTACTTCAGCACTGTGTAGTGACAGCCGGAGACGGGTCACCTTTTCCAATACAGGTGTGTGTGTGTGTGTGTGTGTGTGTGTGTGTGTGTGTGTGTGTGTGTGTGTGTTGGGGTTTAGGACCTTAATGTGAGAAAAGCTGGTGGCCCAGAGGGTACCCAACCCAGCCATCCAGCAACGAGACAGAGACAGTAACATCTTGGGGTGCTTCTCTATAAGGAACAGACTCCATACCACTTCATATCAGCCTATGAAAGGGTGCTGTCCACATTTAAAAGTGGGTCTTCCTTTATCTCAGTTAACCTAATCTGGGAACTCCCTTGAAGGCGTGCCCAGAGGCTATCCTAATCCAGCCAATCTCTCGCAGGTGTGCTGGGGGACTTGTATCCTAGGTGATTATAGACCCTGTCGAGTTTACAATATTAACACGTGGCATGAACATCACACTGGTATTAGAAGAAAACTCAGTCCCCATCGAGAAGCTTTGTGCTCACCTGGTAGACGAGAAGAGGGGTAGCATTTGTAGTCACTCTCTGTGAGATTGGCTGCAAAGCTCCAGACCTCCTGTTCTGTCTGTACCGAGGTCTCTGGCCTCCCGTGCATGACATCCCCATGAGGGAATGAGCCTTGGGAAAATGCAGAGCAAATGGGAAAACGGCTTCAGGCATGGGTGTCTCTAGAGGTCCTGGCTTCAGAGTCTGTGGCTAACTCCATCTGGTACCTTCTCCCAAGGTGCAATCCTTTGCCTGTCTGGCTCTGCGAGTTTCTTCGAGGGCTCCTATAATCTGGCGAATGTCCATTTGACATTATAGACATGCTCTTAGTTGGACAGAAATCTTTTTTGTTTAGGACTCTGTCCTGCTTCAGCCTCCTGAGTGCTGGGATTTTGGGTGTGCGTTCTCATGCCTGGCTTGGATAGGCGGTCTTTGCAGGAATTATTGGGTTAAAGACCTTGAGATGAGCTGACTGGGGGATTGTCCGGGGGACCTCAATCCACTGTCAAGTGTTCTGATAAAAGCAGGGGAGGCTGGGCATGGTAGCAGGGGTTTGAAATCCCGGCACTTGGGGAAGCAGAGCAGGAGGAAAGTAAACTCCAGGCCAACTTGGCCTACAGTTTCAAAAGTGTATTTAAAAACAAAAACAAGCAAACAAGAGGACAGAGGAGGAGCCATAGGAAAGCTGACCACATTACCAGGGAGGCGGAGGGTGTGATGTGGCCACAAATAGCAACATCAGGATTATGGTACCACTTGGAGCAGGATGGGCTGACTCTCCCTTTGAGTCAGGGAAGGAGCTGTCTGCCTATGGCTGTTTATAACCAGCAAGTCTGTGGCCCTCTGCCCTAGACCCTAGGCACTTCCTACTCAGTCTCGACTTCCGTTCTGGCCTCTGTCAGGCAGACTGAGTCAGAGTCAGGCCCTTCTTCCCAAAGATGAGCAAGATAGCACCACCCACATCACGCTCTGGAAGACAAACCCAAGCTCCTCTTCCCAGCCTGTGGCATCTTGCTCTGTTCCGACTTCACCCTGCCTGTTCCCACCTGCTTCCCTCATCTGGTAGAGTCTCTGACCTCCTCCAGGGGCCTCCAGATGCCAAAGGACCTTTGCACGGGCTCTCTGTGTGGGGTGGTCTTGCCTTAGGATTCTTTGCCTCAGATCTCTGCAGACGATTCGATTCTTGCTTCATCTCTAAAAAGCATCCCTTGCCCCTGGCACCAGCTCACTTAGCACCGTCTCATTCGCACGCACGGCAGCTCTCCCCCTCTGCCATCTGTTGGAGCCTCCTCTGTTCACTCCTTGCTTCCCGGAGGCGTCAGCCCAGAGGGCAGAGGTATCTGCTATCACCAGCTCCTGCTCTGGGCACAGTGGGGATGGGTTCAGTAGGCAGTCTCTACCTTCGAGTGGACTCCGCTCAACCCAGTGTGCCCTTTTGCCCATCTTCAGGCGCATGGGGGTGGGAGCCTGGTAGAGCCATTGTTAGCACCCAGCTGGCCACTCCTCTGCTTTGACAGGCATTATGCTAGTCCATCCCGGTGCTGCCAGATCTGAGCTCTGGAGTTCCCAAGGCTTAGGGGCTTGACTGGCAGACCCAGAGGCTTAGAGCTTCTGAGAGCCGGGTGGCCTATCGCTCCAGGCTTTAGATGCCAGAGACTCAAGAGTCTCAGCCTGGAGGCTTATTGCTCTGGGCTTTAACCACAAGCGGTCTTGACACTTGGCAGCTGATGTAGATAGCTTCCAGTGGTAGTGAGCAGCGGCAGCATCTCCAAGTGCTGAAGTTCGTGAGAAAGGTGTTGGGACTTCAGCTTCCTGGTGGCTGATTTTGCCTAGCTCAGGCCTTGCCCGCTGGGGATCTCTGGTGCTGGAGGTGTCGCAGCACTCCAGGAGTCTCCCAGCCTTGGCTCTCCAACCCCTCCCCTTCTCCCGGCTTCTGCTGTCCTGCCTTTGACGCTGCTGGCCCACTTCCTGCGGTTCTGCCCTGGCTAGCCTTTGGAGCCTCAGGTGTTTATCAATAAGAGGAAAACTTGTGGGAGTCAGTTCTCTCCTTCCAGAGTGGAGGTTCTGGGGAATTAAACTCGGGTTGTCAGCTTTGTGTGAACGGGCCTTTGTTTGCCAAGCTATCTTGCTTCCCCCTTTAACAGGATTTCATGTAACAACTCTGACTGGAACTCGAGTTTGTAGATCAGTCTGACCTTGAATTCGCAGAGATCTGCCTGCCCCTGTCTCCTGAGTGCTGGAATTAAGGCATTTGCCAACATGCCTGGCACATTAAAAAAAAAAAAGATTTATATTTATTTTATGTGTGTGTGATCCTGTGTAAATTTATGTGAACCATGGACATGCAGATCTTTGAGGAGGCCACAAGAGGGCGGCTGATTCCTTGGTAACTGGAGTTACATGTGCTTTGAGCTACCACATGGGTGCTAAGAGCTGAACCTGGACCACGCTGTCGACCATTGAGGCTCAGCATCAGTTCCAGCCATAAACCGCCCATTCCCCCATCCACCAAGGTTTTAAAAAAATATTTATGTGTGTGCATGTGTTGCCTGCATATATGTCTGTGTATCAGTGTGTTCTGTTGCCTGAAGAGCTCAGAAGAAGGCATCAAATCCCCTGAGACTAGTTATGAATAGCTGGGAGTCACCCTATGGGTGCTGGGAATCAAACCCAGGCTCTCTGCAAGAGCAACTGCCCTTATCCACTGAGCTGTCTCTCCAGTCTCCCAACCAAGGTTTTTAACCTTGTTGAGTAAGTTAAAATGGCCTCTCCAGCCTCTGGCATTGGCCATCCTGTCTCTATGGACTTGCTGTCCCCAGGATCCTTCCTCGTGCTACTGAGACACTGCAGGATTTGTCCTTCTGTGGCTGCCTTGTTTCATTGTCACACACTGTGACTTGTGTCAAGGTTCCTCTTTTTTTTTTTTTTTTTTTTTTGCCCCTAAGGCCAAATAAGCCGGGTGGTGGTGCATGCCTTTAATCCCAGCCTGTTGGAAGCAGAGCAGGTAGAGCTCCGAGTTTGAGGCCAGCCTGAACTACAGAGCAAGTTTCAGGACAGCCAGGGCTATACAGAAAAACCCTGTCTAGAAAAAAAAAAGGCAAAACGAAAGGCTGAATAATATTCCACTGTCCACAGGGACCATATCCATGGCTGTGGGTGCACATGTGGGTTGTGCCTACCCTTTCTATTCATACTATGCCCCTTCATTTGCTTGGTATCCCCTTGGCAGCATCTTTTATCCGTGGGTCCCCTGCAAGTCTCCCCCTTATTTCTGGTCCTGGGTCCCATTCTGCCTCCTCCATCCTTCTGGCTGTCATGTGTCCCTACTGTCCCAGCACTGGGCTCAGCTTGATCTTGCACTGGCTTCCTGGACATCCCTGATAATAATCCCTTCCAGCCGATTGGC